TTGTGTCCTTGCCATGTTTCCTGAACTGCAAGATGATTGTGTTCACTGTCGAAAGCGGGATTTCCAAATTCTGCGAAATTTACCGCTGACTTATTCCACTATCTGTTTGACCAACTATCCTTCCTCTAACAAAATCTGACAATTCGAGAGAACCTTGAGTTCTAGGCATGTTGTAGCACAAGATAATTAGTGTGCGGACCACTTTCATTTATGTAGTGCTCTGTGAACACAAATTAGTTAGCATAAATCAGTTAAATGACGAAAAATCAGGTGTCTATTTACTTGTGACCACTCAGTGTATGTATATGATTTAGAAGTACAATAAAATATACTTATTATACTGTCTCACTCAACATTATAAGAGATGGATGACAGACAGTGAATGTACTCCATTATATTGAGAGACGAAGGTTCATGTTAACTTCTACTTTAGTTCCTTCAACAGTGAGCAATTTTATTTTATTGGTTCATACCATAAATAAATCATATATTTTTTAACCAAACATCAAAATAAAAATGCAGTCATATTAAAAATAGAATCAGTTTTCAAGAAAAAAAATTACTGTGAATAAAATCATTACAGCTTGGAAACAATTTCCAATAAATTGAGACTTAGAAACAGCTTTTAAAAAACTGAATACCTTAATTTCTGGATATTTGATGTTACACCTGATAATCGGTATATCCCATCAACTATGCCATGGGCTTCAATAAATTCTGTACAGCATTTTAATACCAGAGGGACTGAGGGAATACACAATTTATTTATTAATAAATTACAAAAAATTGTTTATTATTTCAAAGAAAATACAAATTAGCAACTTCCAAGAAGCATTAGATTATTTTGAAAAATAGTTTAATAATATGAAAAATAATCAAAACAAAGTGATTATACTCTTTTTATTTTCCTAACTTAAATCAACTGCTAATACTCATTCAGTCAGGAAAACCAGAATCATAAAACATGTTTTGAACTTATATATGTTGTTTTCTGCTGTAAATATACAGAGGGTTGAGTACATTGAAGATTTTTAAGCCTCACCAGGTCATTACAGTTCACGTCACCAGTCATGCTTAGTCTTAGTTCTCTGACCGTACATCTGTGTGTTTGAATCTTTGTAGTTGAGTCAGTCTCATCTTGGTCATTAAATCATTTATCTTCATACAGTAAAGCCTAGTTTTGTTGGGTTGATTGATACAAAATAGTCAGTTTTATTTAACAATATAATTTCATGTTCAATTGTGTAAAATGTTTTTGTTTTCTTCCCAGGATTGCACCACTTAACATGTTTTTGTTTTACATCTTAAAATTCATCTACAACACTAGCCAATTTCTGCTATGAACCAATTCAGCCTTCATTCTTCAAACATCAGTGACTTACTACAAGCTAGTTCTTAGCATTCCTCTAGTTATTGCAGTTGTGTCTTAACTGTGTGTGACTCTACTTAAGAATACCACACCAGCACCAGTTTCAATCAGAAATCAACAGCCACTGACTTGTGTTGCATTTACAAATGGGAATGCTTCTTGACTATGTTGCATACTGATGTATGGTAAATTTGGATGGTTTATATCAACTGTACTTATCACAGTAACTTGCTGATTTGCATAGTCAAAAATATTTTTAATAGAATGTACTCACCCTCTAGTTATATAAACACATTAACGTTTTTCTAATATCATTCTCTAGACTTATGCCCATGCTTTTGCTATTCTAGCCTCATATAATGTGAAGAAATTATCAACCACAGAATACACTTGGAATACAGAAAGTACCTGGTTTAGTTTTTATTGTAAATTCTTCAATTTGAGTTTCATGTTTTAAGTGACAAAATACTCAATCTTAATTGATTTATTCAGTCTTTGACATGATTGCAGCTGAAAAGGATGGATAGATGTTGTTCTTTTTGATGAAATGATCAGTCAATGAAAAAGTGCATTAATAGGTTTGATATTTCAGGCTTAGATAGAAAGTGGACATCATAATTTAGTTCTAGATGAACAGTCTAAAACTTAATAATGAAGAAACTTGATTACTTTCCGAGTTTGTCTTAATGTATAACAAAATACACTAAAATATGATTTATTTAAAAGCAACTGTATATATTATTACTCATTGTAGCCCAAAGAAAGAACAAAAAGAGTGTATGAAAAGTCCACTCTAACATTGTTAAGATAAAATTTTACCTGGAGATTATTTTTATTATTAGAACAAATTGTTTAAAAACATTATCAAGATTTCTACAGGTACAAGTATTTTAAAGAAAGCAAACTATGCATCTCCCAATATTTATTGAATTCAAGGTATATTTAATCTTTTTAAGTAAAATTAGTTAAAAAGAATTTTCACCTTTATTAAATGTTTGTACTGTGTACTTACTCTCTCTAGAAGTATTTAATAAATGTTCTCCTAAATCACAACCAAATACCCTTTCTTTCAAGATACCACTTTGCTTTAATTTCCCTCTTGAAGGTCGTGAAAGTAGAAAGGATCTAAAGAAAGCAATCAGTTTTCCATGTTTCCGCAACACTGAAAAGTAACCAGAAAACCGACTTAAATGTTTTTTCCCTTTAAGCAAAGTTTAGCTATGATTAATTACAGTAGAATTAAAATGATTCACAATAACTCAACACAAATATAATTTTGGATATCAGTATTCTCTTTTAAATCAGCTTTACTTCATTAACTTAGTATCATGTTACTGGAACCAACAATATGAAAGAACTTACTGAATTCATAGCTTTGGAAGTCAAGAGAACACTTGATTTTTGACACCTGTATAATGTTTTCATGATTTCTTAATGTTTATAGAATATATTTGAGTGCTGTATCATTAGCAACTAAACTAATAGAATCCAGAAATTGTTGCTCAATATTTTGTTGTCACAACCTTTATGGAGGGTTGTGTAACACTATTTCTACACCCCTTTTATAAGGAAAAGATTTTAAACTGAACAGCAGATCTGAAATACTCTCTTCTGAACCAAAAAAAAAGACTACTGTTAAATGTAATTATAATGTTATATACAAACCCAATAATTGTGTATATCAAAAGTCAAGATATACTTGATATTTTTGATATACATTTAACACTAAAACATACATATTTTCAACTTATACAAGAAATATGATCTTATCTTATTAATTAGAGTAAATAAAAAGAATACTCACAAAGATTTTTATTTGTTTATATTTAAGTACAAAACTACAGAATGAACTACCTGCTCTGTGCCTCCCATGTGTATCGAAACCCAGTTTTTAACATTGTAAGCCTTTAGACTTACTGCTGTGCCACTGGGGGATGACACACAAAAATGAACTACAAACACAAAATGCCAACATTTATAACTTTAATAATAGGTGAAATATTCTTCATAAAAATGATTGAAAATTTGAATGTGAAATTTTCCACATAAAAGACATTTACAGGATTATATTCTAACTTTGAAAATTCTATACCACTGTATTTTAAGAAAAACTTGATAAAAATACTGGTTCAAACATATGAGTTAACCAGTACATATATTTTTTCTATCAAGAAATAGCAAACATTAAGGAATTCCTAATAGAAAAAAAAAAAAATTTACCAACAGACATTATAAATTATTCATGATTATTTAAATATCAGAGTCCATCCTACATCTTCCACAATGGAAGTAAAAAATGAAAAATTTCTTTTTGTTTTACCATACATCAGAAAGCAAGTGATAGAGAATAGAAATCAGTTAATAAAAATAATCCATTAGAATTAACCCATGTAGACATGTGTTTAGCCAGTGTGTAGAATAGGAAAAGTTTTTTAGATATAAAGATCAAACATTTATCTAATAAACATCAAGTGTAGTATATCTATATTGGTATCATAAATGTAATTTAGGTTATATAGGTTCTACCATTAGAGTGATAAAAACACGTATATACAAGAGCGTTCAAATTTGAAATCCATGCCATACTTAAGCATTAAGAGGCATGCATTATATAGTTGTAATGAACCCATAAATAGAGAAAATTTTAAAATCTTGGTCAGGGCTAATAATGAGCAGGAAAAAAGGAAAGTCTATTAATTGATAAACTTAAACCTAGATTGAATTAGCAGAACAAATATGAACCTATGTTAATATCCATATTTTTGTGTACATGAAATACAAAAATACTATTTCCAATCATCCAGTTATTTCTTTTTACAGATATTACAAAGGAAAACTTGCTACATTTAAGTCTAAAATTTAATTCTTTAATTAAATGTACTTTTGTGTTTTTTTCTGAGATACGTAGTACCTGTACTCAATATATTAATAATTATATTCGTGTTTATTTAACATATGTTTTGTTATTGCATGCAATTTGTTTAATTCTACCAAACCTGGTATCTGTAATGTGTTTGTACAGTTCAAATGTTGGAAGAGAAATTGGAAGCTATTCTAAATAAAGTAGAGGCAACAGATAAAGAGAAGTGTAAATTGTGGGAAATGGTAGCAGGAATTAAAGGGAAACTCAAGCTTTACAGTGAAAAGACAAAATAGCTAATAATGAATTTCAGGAAGTTAGAAACAGTAGTGTTAGAGACAGAAATTGTAATAAATAGATTATATTAAGTAACAGGTTTCAGTCTTGTACAGATGAGGAACTATGGACAGAAAGGAAAACCAAAGGAACAGATATAGATGAATTTTTCACTTGTATGTTTGTTGTTAATCACAAACTTATAAATTGGACTATTGGTATCTACCATGAGTATTTAAAACCAACTTTTAGGGTTATTAGTCCTCAGACTTACCACTGAGCTATCATGGGGCACATGAATTGAATAGTCTTTGGGATAAACAGGGAGAAAAGAATTAGATTATGTTATCCAGGGGCAGCATTGGAGGACATAAAGCAAGTGATACAGTAAAAGGTGCAAGCATAATGCAGTCTTTGTTCTGCTCATAGGGGCTAATGATGTAGGAAGGATAGGTCAGATAAGCTAATTAATAAGTACAGGGGATTGATAAATGCATTTAAAGAAAATGGACATAAATTAATTTTGTCAGGGATACTACCTAGATTTAAATGTGGAGATGAGACGATAAGCAGGTCAATAGGATTCAATACTAGATTTAGTTTAATTGGTAAGTATGAGCACATTGACTGGTTTGACTTGTTGGATCACTCTGACAGAAAAAAGAAGTTTTTGGATTGCATGGTTTACACTTAAATAGGGTAGTGGGTGGCTTGTTTGCATGGATTAATAACAGAACTATAATGGCAGCTTTAAACTATGACTTGACAGTGGTGGGAGAGAGGGTAAACTAAATGCAGAAAAAATATGATGCAGAGAAAAGTGTAATGAAAGAACAAAGTACAGAAGTAGTTTTAAGGGTTAGCTAAATTGTTATTATTGTAATGGTAGATATATGAGAAATAAACCAGTGACCTTATAGTACTAGTCAGAATGGAAGATTCTGATAAGTGAAACTTGGTTGGATGTGAACACTTCTGAAAACATAAGTTTCTTTGAAATACAGGGTTATATGTTATTTAATATGGATAGAGTGCTAAAAAGAAGGAAGTAGCTTGATATGTAAAATGTGAGTTACATCCTGTTGAATAGAGGATATCAAAGGTGGTTGAATCTATTTCTATTTGAGTTTCTGTTTCTGGGGGGGAAAAGGTTTTAGCTAGAATTTGTTACGAACCATGTGATAAAACTGATGAAATTAATGAGAAAGTCTACAGTTAAGATATCAACTATTAGTGAGGTCATAATTAAGAGGGATTTTAGTTTCATGCATCTAGACTGAGAGATTTCAGCTAAACCAAGAGGGAGACAGGTTTTAAGAAACCATACAAGATGGTTTTCTTTACCAATTGGTCAGGAAACTTACTAGAAACACCTTGTTTTAGATTTATTGTTAATTTCTAACATAGAAATGGTTGATAGGGAGAGGTTTAAGGGACATCTGGGTGCAAGTGATCATTGTTCAATTAGATTTGATGTTTTACTGCATACGGAGGTCAGGAATAATGATAATTGGGTTGTAAGTTTTAAAAAAACAAATTCTGAAGAGATATGACAAAAATTATCTGTTGTGAATTTGGCAACTGAATTAATTGGAGATTCTTATCAAATGTGGAAAAAATTTTAAACATTTAAGATAGATATGTTCCTAATAGAAAAAAAAAGAGTGGTTGCAAGTAAAAGACCAGGTTGGCTCACAAAAGATATAAAAGTAAAATTAAAGAAAACATTATAAATTTAAGAAGTTTAAATGATGGGAGATGTGGAGGATTATAGAAGATGAAGAATAAGGGTAAGCAAAATGTCAGGATGGGAGTAAGACATTTGAGGGATGATATGGGAAAGTTAATTTCTGATGATTATGAGATGGCTGAGATATGACATTCTACTTTTTCTAAAATTTCTACTCATGAAAATTTCAGCAATATTCCTCATACTGAACAGTTGCTAGATGAAAACAAGTTAGAAAAAGATAATTACATTAATTTTGAGCTTAAGATAAAAACTGGAAAGTTCAAAAAATGATAAGGATCCTTGGCAAGATGATATTTCCCAAGGGTCTTGAATGAGGTCAAGGATTGGATATGTGAGCCACTTGCTATTAATTTTCTAAGTCCTTGAATACTTAGCAGGTGTCAGAACATTGGAATTTGCCTAATGTTACTCCTCTTTTTAAAGGAGGCAATATTAATTTTCAGGTAATAATTAGAGGCCTATTAGATGAAAGATGCTTTACAAAGTCATTTAACAAAGTCTAAAATTTTGTTGGATAGTCAACATGGTTTTACTAAGGAAAAACCTTGCCTTACTAATCTTTTACATTCTTTGAAGAGGTTACTGCTCATGTAGATTAGGATAATTGTGTAGATTTGGTGTATACAGGTTTTCAGGGTGTCAAAAAAAAAGGCTTGTTAAAGAAAGTGATCTCTATAGCTATGTAGAATACATTGGCTGGATGGAAGAAAGCAAAGGGTTTTTATAAATTAGAGTTCAGTAAAATTAGGTTAATGTCACAAGTGGGGTACTTCAGGGATCAGTGTTATGACCTTTGCTCTTTTTGATTTACATCAGTGACACAGATGAAGAAATGGTGAATAAAGTACTTAAATGTGTTGATGATATTAATGTCTTGGGTGTTACTGGATGCTGCTGCTGCTGATGATGATTTACGAAAGGATTGAGATCATTTGGTGAGTTAGGCAAATAAATGACAGATGGCTTTTATTTATAATAAATGCAAGTTAATGCATGCGAGTTATCAAAATTTGAATTGAAAAATAATTATGATGAAAATAATCTTAACAGTGTTAAGGAAGAAAAGGATCTTGGTGTTATGGTTGATCAGTCTTAAGCCATCTAAGCAGTGTGTTGTTGACAGTGGCAGGGTAAGTAGGATTTTAGGTTGTATCTAGGGAAATATTGAATACAAGTCAAAAGAGATTATAATTCTATTGTAGAAGTCACTTGTAAGACCACATTTGGAGTATTATGTCCAGCATTTGGATTCTCACTTTGGAAAGTTGTTATAAGAGAACAGGTTAAGATATCTGAAATAGAATTTTCTTGAAAAAAAAGAAAAGATACAGGGGATTCCATTGAGGTGTTTAAGATTGTCAAGGGAATTTACAGTGTCAAGGCACCAACGTTTTCATATTTAATTGTAATAATGATAGGACTAGGGGGACACAAATATAAATTTTGATAGTATATTACTCATCTTTAGCTAGGACAGTTTTATTTTTTTAACAGAGTGGTTGGTCTTCAGAATGGGTTGCTTCAAATGTGGTGGATACAGAAAATTTAAGTCTAAGGGAAAAGTTAATAAATATTCAAATGATAAGAGTTGGATTTTAGATGTTGTTTTTCTTTTACTTATAAAACAGTTTATTTTAGAAGATGGAATGACCTAGATAGACCAACAGATCCCTTATTGTCTTTAAATTTTATGTTTATTTCACATGAATACAAAGATCTCCAAGTTTCTACTCTGTAATATCAACATATAAATTATAATGTGATTTGACATTTTCTAGATATTCAAGTTAAGCAATTTCCATTATTTCAAATTGTAGGTTTAAGGAGATTTATCTTATTTAAGCTTATGAGTTATGGAGATAGGAAGTCCTATCTCTTTGAAAAACAATTTTTCTTATGTTTATTCATGACAATATTGCTTATCTAGGAAGTAAGCAACTGTACCTTACTTTAAACTTCTGTTTAATTACACTTTTCATAAACTTTCAGAGTAGCCACTTACTCTGAATGTATTTTGGAATATATAATAACCTAAGTAAATTTGATAATGAGGAACCCATTTTTTCAAAAATAAAAGTTTAAAGATGGCTTGAATGGGTATTGAACAAAACTTTATTATAAATTTTCAACATTTTGACCAAATTATGTCATCATCAGGTACCATTCAAGCCATCTCCAAACATTTAAGTAACAGTAAAAGCTAGTAAACGAGTAAATATGAGAAATGTGATATAATTATTAGACTCAATGAACATTTCTTTTTCCAAGACATTAATAATTTGCATGTATGTGTGTTGTTTTTTACTTTTTTTCACATCCTTCTTTATCACAATTTTACATACTTATACCAATCTTGGTTGCCAAGTTTACTGTTAAGTAGCCCTTTTCTATAGGATACCACAAGAACTAACAAATTTTACTTGTTGAGTACAACAATAAGATTTTTTTAAACCTTGTTTACATAAATTATTTTGCAATATTGGTTTACTTAAGAGCTTGTTTTATCTTTCTCTGAAAGCACTTGACAATAAAATTATTTTTTTACTGTTATTTTATGAAGAAAAGCAAGTTTTACATTTTGTATTGATTTTACTTGACACACATTAAAGAAATATTATATTCTGATGTTTTTGAAACAGCAAATTCTAAAAGATGAGTTGTTTTGGAACAGAAATGTAGATTTTTTTGCATATATATGAAGCAATTTTTTAATAATGGAACATGTAATTTCTTAAGCAAGAACAAACTGATTATACTCTAACCAAATTCAAATGATTATTAATTATTTAATATCTGTCTTTCAAAATTTCAAGAGTAATTTAAATATCTGAAGTAACATTAAATATAAAACTATATTGTAAAAAACAAATATATATTTATATTATCTTTTTAAGAAGTACTTAGAACTGGAGGTTTAAATAATGCATAACTAATCAACTGTTATTTTCTTATTTATAAAACACTGAACAGAATTTCTGTGATATCTGAAATAGAATTTTCTTGAAAAAAAAGAAAAGATACAGGGGATTTCATTGAGGTGTTTAAGATTGTCAAGGGAATTTACAGTGTCAAGGCACCAACTTTTTCATACTTAATGGTAATAATGATAGGACTAGGGGACACAAATATAAATTTTGACAGTAATTTTAAAAAGATTATAAGATGCATATATAACCGATCTTCGCATTTCACTACATTAAATATACATTTAATTAAAAGTAAAAATAAGAGATTTATAACAATACTGTGTTACTAGAAAAAAAATTTCAAAACAGCTAGTTTTTTTTCAAGCATCCAATTCCACAGGTCTCCAAATTGAAAATGTTTGGATCACAGTCTTTTTTCCAGTAACTTTACCTATCATATATGTGTATACATACAAAATTGATAAAGTTACCTGGTTTTGTCGAAGCTCCTGGTATTTTTAAAGTCTGTGGAACTTTCTCTCCAATTACTTCAACACATTCACTGGGGAAAAATCCAACCTAAATAGTTGCAAATATACATTCATTACATATTGTAAATATATTTATAATGATCAATAAATGAGATAAAAACAGATATCTAAAACTTTTACAATCATTTAAAATAATTTTTTGAAAACTGTTTGTTTGTTTCGAATTTCATGCAAAGCTACACAAGGGCTATCTGCACTAGCCATCCCTAATTTAGCAGTGAAAGACTAGAGGAAAGGCAGCTAGTCATCACCACCCACCACCAACTATTGAGCTACTATTTTACTAATGAATAGTGGTATTAACCATCACATTATATATGGCTGAAATGGCGAGCATGTTTGGTGGGACAGGGATTCGAACCAGCGACCCTCAGATTGTGAATTGAGCTCCCTAACAACCTGGCCATGCTAGGCTTTTTCTTTCCTTTTTTAAGAAACAAGATTGTAATTTTTTTAGCATTACTAATATTCACCAAAATACAGAGCAAAATGTAAAAGTTTAAGTTATGAATAATTAAATAATTGACAATTTACCCTCAGTAAGTTTTATAAATATTAAAAACATTCTACTATAAGCAAAGTTAAAGTAAGAGGTTACCTTAATTAAAATTACATTGTAGACTTAATCTACATTCATCTTTTAAATAATTTGTAATTCCTGGTCAGTGGTTGTATTTTTTAAGTTGATGGATTACAAAGTTTAGTACTCTTTAAATATTTTTACTGTAATATGATAGATGTATCTCAGCATCTCTCTACTTGAATCATGACAAGTGGATGTTTACATAAGATATATTTTAATTGCCTATTGTAACTTTTCTTAATCTCTGACATCAGTAATACCTATCATCCAAATTCCCAAAAATATATAGTTTGAAAGTTATCATTAATATTATGGTACTCAGATCGTTTTTGTATAAACTTTTTTTTTGACAGCAGCCAATCAGCAATATATTACTGAACATCATTACTTTTTAGGATCCATTTGACAACTGATTTGTGAGTGACAATACTTTTTCTAAGACTGACGATAAGAGTAAGCTGTAGTGTTTCCAAGTAAATATGTAATGAACATTTTTATAACGAAATAACCCAAATATGCAAATCTAAAGAGCTTAAGCGGTTAACACACCCCTGATGGGATAAATAACTGTAATATCACCAGGACTGTAACATTTTAAGATTTTACAGGATTCTACACTGAAACTGTTCAAAATCACCCAACTGACACACACACCCCACCTCCCACAAGAGAAGTAAAGGCAAATGGAAACAAACAATAAATTGAAAAACAAAATGAAACACTACTTTTTGTTTGTTTGTTTCTCTTTTCTGTAACTTCACTTTATGCTTTCTTTTTTCCCATCTAAGCTGTACATGTGTAAACAAATTTCCATTCAGACTTCGCAAGAGTGGGGCCCTAGGCAGCTGCTTAGTTCATCTTATGGGATATATGTCCCAAACTTTCACAATTACTTAAAAACTGAAATTCTAAGAAAGCTATAGCTTCTTCCCCAATTTAGAAAATCTCTTACATTTTTTAAAATTGAATATTAATACTCCCTTTCAAATTAAAAATAAATAAATTTGGAGTTCTATAAGCTCAAACACAGAAAATTAGCTTGAGTTGCCTTTACTGAATTTGGATAATTTATTTAAAGATATGCCTGTTTACCTCATATCCCCGTTTTCCTCTCCACCACGTAGATTCTTCAGGTGGTGGCATATCAATCACAGACACCATATCTCCAACCTGGAAGTGAACAGATGTTCAGCATCATATCATCTACAAATGAAAAATTCATCAAAATTCAATACAAAAAAAAAAAAAGACTCCCAATCTGGCAGAAACTATCTACCATATGTATATAAATTCACTAAAATGTTTTTTGAAGAAATTGTTTCGATATATTTTAGCAAATGGAAAAGTTAACTGAGATACTGCATAATGCTTCATAACTTGAACACAGTTTTTCTTTCAGGAAGTACTGTGTGATTTAACCTGAAGAGGTGCCAATTAAATATTATTACAGTTTTCAAGTTAATCATAAAGTGTATAAGAAAGTACTATACCCGTAAGTGGGGGAAAACAAAAAGCTAAACAAACTGTTTTAAAATAGAACATGTCTCTCATTTCAAGATAAATTGGGCACAGTTCAACTTAAACCATATTTAACTTCAACAGCAACAAAAATCCCCTCCACAGTAATTGCTGCAAATTTTTCTTATAATATGTAGGTGCAAATAGTACGGTAGTTTGCTAGTATCAAAATACTTGGAATTTATATTTTCTAAATTAATTATACGAACATCAAGATTGGCTCACTTATCAGTTCTTTTATCTTTTGATAATCTGGACTTTGTTAATGGTGTATCACATATAATGCACTCATGAACTAAACATCTTAAAACAACCAAAACAAGCTATTATTTAACAATTTCAAAATTTCTTATGTTTTGTCAATAATTTGTTCCCTACAGTACAATAAATGTAAAAAACATGGATAAAATCTTTACTGTTAACTACAACACCTTACAAAATAATAATAAAAAAACATGGATAAAATCTTTACTGTTTACTACACCTTACAATATAATAAAACATTTAAAAAAAACATGATGTTAAAATTTTAAGTAAACAAATAATAAAACTTAACTACTACTTATTTTAGCTACAGGAAACTAAACCTTTAATAAAGAAAGTTACTTGAGGTGCATCTTTTGTAATTAGCAGTTGTTGCAAAAAGCAAAAGAAATCAGTTATCTAAGAAAAGAGAGTTATATTTGAATAACAAAAATATTAATTTGAAGAAAATTACCAACAAATTATCAAGTCAGGTCATGATCAAAGAGAAAATTTGTTTCTCACTTTCACGAGCATCAAGTAAACGCAACAAGATTTGAAGATGAAACAACAACAAAAATCTTGGGTGTAGTAAATTAGACCCAATTGTAATGTACAGTCTAACAGTTTGACACTAGAGTTCAATACGGTAACTCCAATTTGGTGTGAACATTGCACCTATATAAGGTAACGCGACAAGAAACTTCGACCGGCAGTAAATAAAGTTCTGGTTATGCCCTCATTTCTTCTGAAAGTTAAGTACGTGCGGGTTATACGAAAGCAGACGCTACTGGATGAGTTCACTTTAACTGTAGTCGGGTTGGACTGGCTTTTTTGTTGTACTACATAATGGCATCGAAACCTCAACTGGCATTTATCCTCTCACATCACTCGGGCTACTGAATTTTTATTATATAAGTAATGTCAAATGAACGATTCATATGCAGCCACATGTGAAATATCAGAACATTTAATTATTTGTCTATTATTTCTCAGTCACCAAATATTTTCTTACCTCCTATATATTCAGTTGCGCGTTCTTTCGCCGGTTGATATTATCAAAACATATTCTTTAATTCACGTTGGAAATAACAGATATCATAACGACTATCTATTATGTATATAAATTATAATAACAGCTCATACAATATTTCGTTAAAAGTAAGTAACTTTACTGAATAAGGTTTCTACAATTTTGTTTTCCAAAATTAGTTTCTGTTTTTTGTGACATTTATTTTTGGTTTGGTTAAGTAGAAAACAGTTTTTAAATTGCGTAAGTCGGATACTTGTATGTCTTACATCCTGTTGAAAAACATGGTTTCCTGTTGATGTCTGCCGTAAAGTTTAAGCCTAACCGAATCAAAACACTGATACATATATGGAGTTTGATCATATTTTACATACCGCCCCTGCAATATCTCTTGTCAAGATTTTAATAGAAAATCACCAAAGTATACTAAGTTAATAGTTCTACAGTGTTTGTTTGACACACACACACACTTCCTCTATATTGCAGCATGCAGTAAGGATGGTTAGCTTAACTTAATATTGTGTATGCAAATAGCTTCTTATGATGTTTTAAATATTTCCGTATTTCACATATTTGCATGAGAAATGATTTATAAAACTCACTTCGACAATTTCAATATTCAGAAATGTGTGAAAGCCCTATTCTACATGCAAAAATACTATGAATGATTTGTACTGATAAGTATATTAGCAAAACACGAAATAATAAAAGAAACCATTCATAATTGTACATAAAGTTGTTATTTTTCATAACTGTAATTCGCCTTTCTTTCTAAAAACACAACAATTTTTTATCTCTAAAAATATATAAGATCGCATAATGTATAATTAACTGAAAGCAGAGGCGTCGCTAGGCACTGGCACACGGGGCCCGCGCCCCGAATCCCCAGTTGGCATCTTGGAAAATTATAATAGAAAATTATGATCGATACCATACTGAAACGCCGAAAATACCCGCGTCTGTGGGCCCAAGCCCCGAATCTTTTAAGCACCTAGCGACACCTCTGTTCGAAAGACATACAAGTACGTTTCTCATCATCTATAGTATAACTAATTTTTCTTTATTAATATTGCTGTGTTCACCTGAAATAATAAACAGATTACGTGCTATACAAACATACATACATAAACATTCTTTGCTACAATCACTTCGTAACAATATATTTTTATTCCGAAAACGACAAATGGCTTTAGATAATCAAGATTATATTTCGTACATTGATTCTGACAATTCTTATATAAATTTCAGCTTTCCTAGGAAATAACATAGCGCAAGTAAATGTGAATACAAATCTGACAAATTAAACAAAGCGTTTTGTTGCTTAAAATACGTTCTATCTGCATAATAGCTTTAAGAATTTATTCTTTTTAAATTAATAATACGAATGTCAGTATTTAGTTCGTTGCCCTTTTCTTGATCGAAGTATATTTAACTTATGTCGGTGTGTGTTCTTTAATTTGTACACTCAAAATATAAAAAATAGGGTAGCTTAACGTTTATAATGTTTCCAAAACTGTTCTTTTATAATCTTAGCCTTCTGAGCTCGAAACGGTTGTAACATGTATACCAAACACTGTCAAGAAGTTGGTAAACATTTTAATGATAAAGCTTTGTTTCTCTCGAGAAATGGTACTAAGAACAGCCTCACGGGGTAAAACCGAAAGAATGAAAGGGAGGGACATATTACAACGACCAAGGAGCCGGTACGTATTTTTATGGGATGAGTTTATGGTAACGATGAACTGGTTATCGTTGAAGCCATGTATGTCTTTAATGAGGCGGTTTTCTAAAGTAAGAAAGTTCTAGTCTGTGTCTGATTAGTAGCCAGGTCGTATATGCTGACTTAGCAAGAAACGCCGGCTTTGAAAGCTTAATTCAGGGCACAACTAGGGTCATTAAACAATTTGACGTGATTTTTCTCTGAAATTTTACGAGCTCACTAACTTCCTCTTCTACATAGGAATTACCGATAAGGTTATACAACGAGTGCCTAAAAAGTACACGCCATGTGTTACAAAGTAGGAGATGCTACAGCAGAGATGAACTCTCGAAAGGTGAGTGTCGGATTTACTCTTGGTTAAAATTTTAAAACCAGTCTACCGCGGTGCTTCCTCAATTTTTACTTTAGCTGAATTTCACCTAAATTACTCAAGTTCACATGGCTAACTTATAGATGTTATTAAAAACAATTAAAAGAAATAATTTAGTAGCAAACTGTTATAGGCATAAACGAGAAACGTATTTTTGGCAAATGGCAGTACAGCTTTTAAATAACCCAAACACTCCTGGAGCTCAGTAATAAATTTGGTGGCTGGAAATGCTAAAATTATGGGTTGGACAAGTGCAGTCGGCACAGGGCAGATGGTCTACTGTACAGCTTAACGATTAAGTAAAAACAAACTATTATTAAAACAACGACATTATATCAAACTTTCTTCTTTTTTTTTTTTTTTGACGCCTTACAAACGAATAAGATTATGCTAAGTTATACCCAGGTTGTTTAATTTGACCACTAAGCTTGTAAACTATAACACCTTGAGACATGAAAGATTACATTCCGGTCGGTTATTGACTAAAATATTTTCAACTGAATCAATTAAATAAATTTTGATAAAAGACATTATTCGTAAAGAATATACAAAAAAAAAAAAAAATTCTAAACCTAATCAGATCCAGATATTTAAAATTAAGTCATGTGACTAATAACGTTTTAGGATGATTTTATAAACTTTCCAATCATTACATGAATTTGGATACAACACATTAATCGTAAGGTATATACAAAAACAGGTTTATATAGCTACTCAAATCCAGTTCTTTAAAACTAAGCCATTAACAACGAGTGTCTAACATTTCTAATCAATGTATCACGTCTAAAATACTCAAGAACTTTAGAGGATTGGCCAAATGATAAACTCTACAAACTATTGAACAAGAAATATGTAGTTACGGAAATATCTATAAAATTTAATAAAAATAAACCAGCCCAATATAAAACACGAGTCACCACTGCCTTCAAATTAAACACTTTTTGTATAATTATACAACTGTGTACTATGTTATTAATAAAGAAAGAGCTTGTTTGTTTTCGTGTAAAGCTACAAAATTGCTATTTGTATATAGCCATCCTTAATTTAGAAAGAAAGCAGCTAGTGAACAACACCGATCTCCAACTCTAGGGCTACTCTTGTCTGATAGAATAAGGGATTTCTTTGACCATTATTCTAACAACGTATCAACTGCCCCAAAGAGTGGAGCGCGTTTTAGTGAGAAAAGGACGCGAACAAGGTCATCTAGGATTCACAGTACGAGCACGCTAACTACTAGGCCACGCCCGGCCCGTAAACAGCTGTAAAAGTAGTGTTTACACGTATTTGTTCCACGTTCATAATGTTTCATACTTTCACACTTCTTATCAAAATTAGTTGGAAATTAATGACATTTTTAGTAATAATCACTTACATTTCATTATGTAAAAGCATACTGCATAGAACCCAAAATATTTTAAAATATCCATTACAGCATCATCTGATGAAAAACAAAATCTTGTATACCTAGGTTACTAATTAATCTTTTCAGGATTTTACAAACTAACCAAGAAGTTTACTGGGTTGTTACTTTCTCTAGTCGATTATATAAGCAACAGTTATCTCCTTTACACTCAGTTTTTAATGTTTATTATTATTACGCTGAACCCCTCTCGGTGGCTCAGCTGTAAGTCAGGAGGATTATGACGTCAATAGTTGGGTTTCGATACTAGCGGTGTAGCTTTCTGCTTAACAATAAACAAACAAAATTGCGCTGAACATTGTAAATGTTCTAGTATGTACATGCGAGAAAAAGTGATTAAAATATCTTTATGACAATACTTTTCTAGATTTATACAATATAAAGCAAATATCATAAATAGTCATGAATTAGCCAATTTATTTAAAATAAAACAAACAATTCTGTCATACTGTTCTTGGTATTCAACAGCATAATAATATACGAATAAATTACGTTGTATATTATTTTCAATAGCTGATTTAAGGTAAGTCACAAGTAATACGGTTACAAAAGTATACCACGGTTCATCATTGGCTATTATTGAGGACACTAACATTCAATTTCGTTAAAATTTAATACAGAATCCATCAGTTGTCAAAGGCTAGCCAGATAGTGACGAATGCTAGTGTTTTCAGGTACTTGACATAAATACTTCAAATGTTATGTGCTATAATTTATTTCAAATGGAAATGTCTTTTTTTTTATTAATACGTACATATATTTAGGAAATAACACTATTATTACTTGGCATTGCTATAAAACATTATATTAGGACTAATATACCTTGAAACGATAACATTTTCAACAAGTTGAAAAGTTTTGAATATATATATAAATATATATCACTAAAATAATATTAAATAATTAGAAATAAACAATAATTTTATGAACTCTAACTTCAAGTAACAGAAAACTAGAACGTCAGGGTTAATACTGAGATTTAAACTCAAGTTCAGAAAATCAATACGTGAACCGAGTATCTTAAGTTATTTTAATAGCATCGTGCAGTGACCCACTTTCATACAAAGAACAGAATAAGAGAATTTGGATCGTTAAAAATATTTTACAGAAATATTAAAGAAGACAGCTTTATCACTGTAATTTGTTCAAAAATAAACAAGTTGGTCTTAAATGCGTTTTCAACCTAAATAAACTCAGACAAACGTGTTGTGTCAACATATAAAAGTAGGTTGTGTAACACATAATATTTTACGTGTACTGGTTGTGTCCCTCTAAGTATACCATAATTTCTAATATATACACAAGAACTAAGGTGAATTACAATTACAGGTTTATTACCAGTTATTCAAGTATTGAGTAATATTTTATCCGAAGTTTGGCTGACAATTTTTTACATCTGTTGAATACGTTTATCCTATATAATATATTTTATCATTTTTTTTTTCACTTACTATATAAATGTATATTTACAAATATGTATAAAAATAGCTCAAATTACAAACTTAATTAAAAGTTCAATATAGTTAGTTTTAAACAGGTATGTTAAAAACAGAAAAACAACGAGAAAAGCAATAAAATGTTATTATTTTCCTTTTTTGTTGTAATTAACGGGGTGAGGTAAACTCCTTAAAGAGACATAAGTGTTAATAAATTATTCCTTCTGGTAGGACAGCGGTAAGTCTACGGATTTACAATACTAAAATCGGAGGTTCGATTCCCTACGTGGACATTGCAGATAGCCCGATGTGGCTTTGCTATAAAACAAACAAACCTTCCAAATGCATATCAAAATATAGGCATATTCGAGATTTCAAAAAGAGTTTATTCATTTTCTAATATAACACTTAGTGTCGGTGTGTTTTACTTCTGGTTATTAATGAGCTAAACGTACCTCTTCACACAAAATACAAACCCTTGACATAGGACCCCAAGGCCATACCTAAATATATACTTGTATAGTTCTAAATTGGGCTAGCTGGCTGCTTACCTCGAAGGATATCTCGTCTCCGGCTTGTGCTGTGTATCTTTTGGTGACGTAGGCAGCAGCTACGGCAGGAGTATTGATAGCAGCTTCATCCGTTACTATCAGCCTGTTACCTCGGTTGTCAAGCTGTGTTAGGTCTCAAAAATTAACCATATGTAGACTATTCTACGTCACAAACACAATAAAACCTTATAATACTGTTTTCGTTTTTATAAATAATACAAAACATCACTTTCAGGTATTATGTACTTAAAGATTAATTGATCTTGATTGTTTGTTTGTTTTGGAATTTCGCGCAAAGCTACACGAGGGCTATCTGCGCTAGCCGTCCCTAATTTAGCAGTGTAAGACTAGAGGGAAGGCAGCTAGTCATCACCACCCACCGCCAACTCTTGGGCTACTCTTTTACCAACGAATAGTGGGATTGACCGTCACATTATAACGCCCCCACGGCTGAAAGGGCGAGCATGTTTGGTGATATATATACACACATACACATAACCTTTTTCATGGGCCCGGCATGACCAGGTGGTTAGGGAGCTCGACTCGCAATCTGCGGGTCACGAGTTCGAATCCACGTCCCACACACACACACATATACACAAAATCTGTCATCTTCCAACCTACTACACAATTATTCCATTCGTTCTCTGAATCAACACAATTTTTACTGTATAATCATCTACTACCCCTAACAGCTAATTATTTCATCAGCTTAAAATAATTAATGAACACTTAACTATCAAGCCTACTACACAATTATTCCGTTCGCTCTCTGAATCAAAACAATACTTACTGTATAATCATCTGCTACTCCTAACATCCAATTATTTCATCTGCTTAAAACAATTAATGAACACTAAACTATCAAGCCTTTTTTATGCCTTTTAGCTACCTATCTCACAAACTCACAGTACTCAACTACTTTGCCTTGCAGTTTTCTAGCTACTTTAGGTACTTGCTAGAGAGCATGATTATCGTATTTTCTACCTCTTATTTCATGCTATCCAGAATGTTACTCCAATTTTGTCTCTTATATCACCGGTTACTCTAAAACCATGCCCCGGTCACTGGGCATTTGTTTTTCATCGCTCTTATTGATCACGTGTAACAACCTGAAAATTATATCATAAAGTAATATAACACACCATTATCACTAATCGTATTTCTCTAAAATGAAAATACAGACTATACGACAATTATACTAACAACACACATTTTGAAAAAAGTCAGTATCCTTCGGGGTGTGTGTGCTCCTATTTATGCAAAAACACTTATATTAGACATAATACAGTTGTATCGATTAGAAATTAGAAGGTTTATTTTGTATAAATGACATAAAAATCATTTAAGTAGAATATGAAAATACGTTTAGTGCATCACGTTCATTAGCATGTTGATCTATGAGAAGACTAATTTCCTGGCGTTAACAGCGTATGTTTACAGAAAAATTTCTTCTAATTAACAAAATAATTCAAGTGTACTTAAGAAAACAAACTGTATCGCTTCGATCAAACAAAACAAACTAATTTCTTTAATGTGCTATTCTTTATCATCATAATATAACTCAAACGTATTCTCTAATCAAAAGTATCCCCCCCAAAAAAAGTAATATTTTACACAATAAATGTCAGTAGATTATTCCAAAGAATATATTTCTCCGACTTATCAAATCGCTGGAATGCAATCTAATATGCAAACGACATATGGAAAACGTGATAAATACAGCCAGATGTGAAGTAAATATTGTTACAATAAACCTAGTATGAATCACTTTCCGATAATTCGTCTTTTCATTTTACTTGATTCTTGTGACATATCTTACATAAAATGTCAAATATAGAAAAAAAAAATCCATTAAGTTTCAATCTGAATATAAAACAGAACGCGATAATCACTGAACGACCAAAGAGGGATTAGTCGTGTTTCATATCCTTTGTATTATTCTATACTTCAAGTCTATGTGAAATTGAGACAAAAAATAACCTAACAGACTTCGCTACTTAATGACCGAAGATTCGCGGACGATATTTTGATTATTTCGCTTTTAATTTTACAGACTAAAGTATATGCGCACTCAGGCTAAACAACAGACGTATTATAAATTTTCAGTACGCCAAATACGACCACATTATTAGAACACGAACATACAGACAGACTTAACTATCATTACAGATGATGACTCGAATGATAATATACTTAAAATATTTGATATAGTATTATATATATTGTAAGCTCCTTTGCTTGCGTTCATTTACATAATCATACAAAAAAACATCTGGCTCAGTAAACCTACTTTATTTTAATCAATAATTATATTAAAAAACATCGAGGATCACTGACTTTACTTAATTTTCTATAGCTGGAGTGATTAATTTCGAAACCCAGTATTATTAAAAAGACTTGTAATAAATCAGTCGTTAGAAAAGATATTATGGATAAAATTAAAAATAGAGGGCGTTTTTGTGAACAGAATAGCTAGTTGCAGAATTTATGATCCCGATATAGTTAAAATGTATTCTAAGAATTAAAATTTGTTTTACTAATGGAACTTATTGTGGAAAGCGATCCATGTTGTTCCCTGAAAAGGAAACAAAAAGTAATGCTCTTGTTTTTAAACTCAGTTGAAGTTTCACATCGGTTTAAGGTGTTTTAATTCAACACATATGAAAACAGTAGACAATGTTGTTCGTTTTCTTGTGTGTTGTTAAGCGAAAAGCCTCACAATGGGCTATCTGTGCGCTGCTAATCGCGGATATTGAAACCCGAATTTTAGCGTTACAAAGGCCCCAGACTTTTCGCTGAGTGACCAAGGTGTGGAGGTGGGGCGTATTTACATTAAGTGTACAAATTAAAATTATGAAGCTGGGAAGAAGGAGGCGATTTTCTACACGACGTATTCAGTTTGGTTTGGAACTACACGAGGGCTATCTGCGCTAGCTGTTCGTAATTAAGCAATGAAAGACTATAGAAAAACCAGCTAGTCATCACCCATTGCCAATTCTTGGGCTACTCTTTTACTAACGAATAGTGGGATTAACCATCATATTATATCGCCCCCACGACTGAAAGGGCGAGCAGGTTTGGTGGGACGGGGATTCCAAGCCGCGATCCACAGATTGCGATTCGAGCGCCTTAACCACCTGGCAATGCCTAGCCGACCTGTTCAATACAACAAGGTCCACTCACAGGATTATTATTTTTTGAAATGATCCATAAATCAAACATTTCTCTCCTTTTGAAGCATATTTCAATATAGCTTAATAACAACCTTCAGTTATTAGTTTCAGACTTGAGCTAAGATTAATTCCACAATTAACACATTACTGTATAAAACTAATATCTTATTCTTTGTATGTGAACAAACTAATTAAGTTAAAGAATATATACTTTATTTGAATCCACAAGTACCTGAAACTAATCTTATCGCCTAAATAACAGGAAATGGCCATTAAAACACAGGCAAGTCTTTGTAATAAATTTTGAAAACTGATACTTTTCAAACTTATATTTATAGCCACATACTGCATGAAAATAATGGAATTTCAAAGCATATTTATTGCGGCTTTGAAAAATGTACACTAACTAGATTCTTAGTTATTGATATAGTTTAACATGAAATGTTCCAAAGTCGAGGTGTGTAAGTACTCGTGTTTCAAGTATGTACAACTTATATCTCAAAATCAAACTAAAAGAATTCAAGAAAGTACAGAAGAAAAAACATCAATGGGCTGCAATACATCATTCTCAATCAAAACGACTGTCACGTTTCTATAAGTGTAAACTCTGAAGATCATCGAAAAACAAATTTAAAGAGCTTTTGACCCAGTATGTACATCTAGTATTTAAAAAAAATCATGACTAGAAAAGGCACAGAAAATGGTCAAATTTTCTTTGCTTTAAACCTCAAAGATAAAGTATACAGAAATTTGTTTATTAGAAGATTATTGTGTTAAGGTTCGAGACAGGTGTCTAAAACGTCTTACAATACATGCAGGGAATAACTACGGGTAGAAACTTTAGTTCATAGGTTGCTAATTTGTATTTAACAAATTTCATCCACAACATAACTTTGCAAGAAAGTCAGTGTTATTGAAACCTAGAAAATAGAGTAGAACAATATTATACTACCTACAAATAAGGCTAATATGCAAGGCTAACACAAATATAAACTTTAATCCAGAACATATCACAAAACACAAAAAATATGTTTTCTTACAAAATACGCTTCATTAACTTAATCTGAATGTCTTTCATCATTGCTCAAATCATCAAACGTTCACAATTTTCAATCAAAACAAACTTTTAATTTCGAAATAAATTCCAAAATCCAAAACAAAGAGTTTGTCTGTTTGTTTTTGAATTTCGCGCAAAGCTACACGAGGGCTATCTGCGCTAGCCGTCCCCTAATTTAGCAGTGTAAGACTAGAGGGAATGCAGCTAGTCATCACCATCCACCGCCAACTCTTGGGCTATTCTTTTATCAACGAATAGTGGGGATTGACCGTAACATTATAACGCCCCACGGCTGAAAGGGGTAGCATGTTTGGTGTGACGGGGATTCGAACCCGCGACCCTCAGATTGCGAGTCGAGTGCCGTAACCACCTGGCCATGCCGAGTCCGCCAAATAAGTTATACTACAATGTTTACTCCTCACAATATATTAGATACAATAGATTTAGTCAGCATTACAGACAAAGCTCAAAAACTCAATTTTGTTTTTATTCTTTATTTCGAACACCAAACGCTTATGGTACTTATAGTACCTCAGAATACCACGGTATTCATAAAAACCATCGGGATTATGCTTAATATTTTTGACTATTCATCTTTAAATAAAGAAATAATGACCAATCCAAGTACGTTGAACTGTTCGCTTCTTATTCCGAGCCCCCCAGTGGCACAGCGGTATGTCTGCGGACTTACAATGCTAGAATCCGGGTTTCGATACCCGTGGTGGGCAGAGCACAGATAGCCCATTGTGTAGCTTTGTGCTTAATTACAAACAAACAAAAACTTATTTCGAATTATATTTTACTGTGTTAAACAGCACGACTTCATAAGTTAGTATATCTCTTAATACAAGTACTTTGGAAGTTCGCCGTTACTAATATCTCAGTAATTA